AGATGTCATGGTCCAACCCCTCCCTGGACTGGTGGACCAGCAACCCAGCAAAACTCATGGACGTACTCCTTTGCCGGCAGACCTCGTTTCAGCAACAGGAGGTCCCCCTCCGCCTGTTGTGCCTGGGACCCATCCTCAAACAGGGCCCTCTGTGTCTCCAGGAAGAGGCCCACGTTCGCCAACTCCCTGGCACGCTCACTGTAAATTCGCCACCCACTCAGCAGCCTCACCTTCCAACACTGCCATCACCGCCACGACCATTGCCCACTGTGTGGGGTAGAACCAGGCCTAGAGATCCAAGGGGCTAATGGCCTGGCTGAGGAATAAGGCCACACAGTCAGGGTTTCTGTCAAACGAGGCCTGCATGGTGGGGGGCCCCATGCCACTTGCTGGAGCCAATAGCCAGGTGGCCAGACAGGCCTGGTCTGCTTGGCGTGGGTCCACATGAAGGGCTGGTGGTTGGACTCCTGGTTGATGCCTCTGTCCATGGGGCCCTGAGTCCCCTGCTGTGGGTGCACCATGCATGGATTGGTCCAGATGCCACAATACGTCAGTCAGCGAGGACTCCTATTCCCAAGGACCTGGCCGTGCCGCCTCGTGGGAGCAGCTGGACACCTTGTCTAAGCGCAGTTTCGGCTGGCCAGGTGGAACCAGATCTCCGCTTGGGGCCCTGTCTTTTGCGCTTGCCATGCTCCGCTCCCATCTCCCATGGTTGCCAGGACGGAGTTACCTGAACCACTCCCGCATGTCCATAGTGCATCTACTGGGGCGGTTGAATAGCTCCACTACCCGTCCTCGTCCCCCGTTAAGCGTCTCTCCCGCCATTCGTTCAATGAAGCCCCAAAGTGAGGGGGAGTTGGCACACGTGGGCCGGAAGCCCCAGTCACAGCAGAACTATGCCACCACTCCCTCAATGGTCCAGCCCCTGGGCCTGCTTGTCCATCCACTGGTTGCACGCCTGCCTCACACTCCTTCGGCCTCACAGCTAGCCAATGCTAGGACAACGTCCTCCAGTACCTCTGGTTTCGGCTCCTCCTCCTCCACTGCAGATTCCACCTCTCCCACCTCTGTTCCTTCCGCCATTGCCTTGCCTGACAAGCACCCACCTAGGCAGCCCCAACAGAGGATTCAGGGAGGGAAAAAGAAAGGAGCAGTGCTGACTTTCTCTTAGCCGGTCTGGGTCGGCCCTGGCCAGGAACAAAGAGAGCCAAGGCACGCTGCAAAACGCGGCAAAACTCAGCTTTATTCCCCACAAACAGGCCAGAGCCTCAGAACACAATGAGCAGGAACCGAGTCCCATGCAAAGTCAGCACTGGGACCGTCCACCTCCCAATGTCCTCTTGTGTCTCTGGGCCCCACCCTCCGACCATACAACCAGCCACACCCACCGGGAACCACAATCTGGCATCCGGTGGCATCGGGGCCGCACCTGCTGTCCAGGCCGCCACCCATCTGGCAGCAACAGTTCTCCTTGCCACCTGGAATGGCTCGCTGGGCGGTGCATGGCTGCTGTGGAAGGCTGATCAGCTGGGCAGTGCAGGTTCAGCAGGGAACACCTCAGTTGTTTGGCGCCATCAGGAACTGGGCCGCTGGCAGCAAGCCACTACTTCACTCATTGCTGCTGTTGCTCCCGCTGCATCCCCCCCCCCCAGGTATGGCGAGTCCCGGACTGGGGCTCAACACAGGGTTCTCTTGGCGCTGATCCTTCTCCAGTTGCAAAACTCAAAGCAAACTCTGCTATCCAGCTTCAATTTATTTCAAATTGAATTAATTGATGAGCCAAATCTAAGTGGCTTCAAACTAGCATCATGGCTTCATTCTCACAATCAGGTGATGAATATCAATTAGGACAGAGTTTCTCCACCTTGGCAACTTGAAGATGTGTGACCTTCAACTTCCAAAATTCCCCAGCCAGCATGGAGTTGAAGTCCACACATCTTCAAGCTGCCAAGGATGAGAAATACTGAATTAGAGCCTTGGTGGCGCAGCGGACTAAAGTGCTGTTAAGTAGCACTTAGCTGCCAGCTGCCTGCAATTACTGCAAGTTCAAATCTCACCAGGCTCAAGGTTGACTCAGCCTTCCATCCTTCCGAAGTAGGTAAAATGAGGACCCGGATTGTGGGGGCAATAAGCTGACTTTGTATAAAAAAGAACACCGCTTCGAACCAATCAATCAATCAATCAATAATAAATAAATAAATAAATAAGGTTTTTCTGATTCTAACATTTCAAGCATCCAGGAGAGCTTGTGCCAGATATCTTTGTTACTAGCCAAAAAAATATTCTGAGTGCACCATGTACCCTCTCATTAAAAAAAATATCCCAAATTAGCTAACCACAATTTAACCTGGTTTGTTGGACAAGCACCAGTCCCCCATTGCCTTCTCATGCCGTGAACTGAGCATACCCAACTCTGACCCCTCAGCTGGAATGTAACAGTCTCTGATCAGCTCTCTTCCTTGCTCCTTCCTCATGCCCTGAATTCCAGTTATTAAGGTTGCAAAAGGGAACACGGCATTTTTCATCTCCTTCTGAAAGGAATGGCGCCCTATTGGGGTTAATTGTGGTTCCTTCCTTTGGGAGTGAACTCTCAGTCAGTCTTTTCAATCATCAAGAAGCCTTAATCCTAAAAGTACTTTTGACAAGACAGCAAAGTTGTCTCAGGCCAGAAAGTTTGTAGAAATCATTTCCTTCCCTCTTGCACAAATTCTACTCAGAGGCAACGTCAATGCAACAAAACAGACAGCATTTCAGTGGCAAAGGTTATGCTCCAATCAAAGTGTTTGAATTGTAAATTCAAAACCACCTTTTTCTGTGTGAGTAGTTATAAATTTCTGTTTGGCATCCCCCATCCTATAACCACCTATTTCATTTCGTTACTGACTTGTTTCTGCTTGGCAGAGATGTGAGATCTGAAGAGAAGAAACTGGAGTTTTCACATCAATGGGAGCACCCCTTCTTGCATCCAAGGGCTGAAGCAGCTACAGGCATGTGAACCCAGTTTTTAACTTGCGTTCCTAACCTGTCATTTAGTTATTTTTGATAAGTTGAGTATTGTTTTCTTTTTGAGTGAAAACAGATGCCAACTATGAATTAAGCAGTTCTGCTTTCTCTATACTGCCTGTTCCTTCTTTGCCATCGCCTCCCATTACTGGACCAATGGTCTTTGATTTTTTTTTCTTCTTTTTTATACATTGAAATAAACTTTTTAATTGTTTTTGACATTTGTTACAAGTCTTACTTCGTTCAAAGCTTTAGTTTTCCTAACTTCAGCTTTGCAAGTTTGGTCTATTTGTCCCTCTTTCCAATTTTGTACTTATCCTTTTCTCTCTCTCTGTTGGTCTTTATGCAACCATGCTGGGGGGTTTTGCTTGGGTTTTTTTAGTGATATTGAACTTGACTGGGCTTTTATAATTGCATTTTTCAGAGTTTCCCAAATCCATTCTTGTCTATCTCAGCTAAAGTTTCACAACTTTTTCGAATCCATCCAGTGATGTGGAGATGTAAGTTGTGGGAGGACATCATTGTCATTGGCATCCTTCAGTCTCAAGAGACAATGGTATCGTGCTCTGGAAAGAGGTCCTAAAACAGCATCTAGTGTGACTAAAAAGGCCAATTCGAAAGTGGCCATCCCTTCCACACTGAGGACAGATACATTCTGTCCCCTGCCCAGCCCCCAGATTTCACTGATTCTGGGACTGCCTCTTTGCCTCAGTCTGCCGAACAAGTGTCTCTTCGAATTGGAGAAGCCTCCAAGCTGAATGATTGGAGGTCAAGGTTTCCCAGTTGTTAATGTCCATTCCCAGGGCCTTTAGGCCCCTCTTGCAGATATCCTTATCTGCAAGAGGGAGCTGTGGTCTCCCTCAGGTGCTTTCCCTGCACTAATTCTCCATACAGGAGATCTTTCGGAATCCGACCATCAGCCATTCTCACGACATGCCCAAGCCAGCGTAGACGTCGCTATTTCAGTAGTGTATAAATGCTAGAAATTCCAGCACGTTCCAAGACTGCGCTATTTGGAACTTTATCCTGCCAGGTGATGTCAAGAATATGTTGGAGACAACACATATGAAAGGTGTTCAACTTTCTCTCCTGCTGTACGTAAAGGGTCCAAGACTCACTGCAGCACAAGAGTGTGCTCAGGATGCAGGCTCTATAGACCTGGATCTTTGTATGTTCCGTCAGCTTCTTATTAAGCCATACTCTCTTTGTAAATCTGGAAAATGTGGTGGCCACTCTACCAATATGTTTATTCAGCTCAGTATCTAAAGAGAAAGTGTCAGAGATAGTTGAGCCAAGGTACACAAAGTCATGGACGACCTCCAGTTCTTGTGCTTGTGTTCTTGTGTAATACAGGGAGGTGAATCCACGTCCTGACCATGACTTGTTTTTTTTTCAGGCTGATTGTTAGTCCAAAGTCTTGGCAGACCTTGCTAAAACTGTCCATAAGTTCATGAAGATCTTCAGCAGAGTGAGCAGTGACGGCAGCATCGTCAGTAAAGAAATCCCGTAACCAGCCCTGCTGATGAGTGAAGCTGCAAGGACAGAATTCTTTCACTTTCTGCAGCAGGTGGAGTAATGGATCCTAATAAGGTGTTTCTGACTGCGAAGCCAACCCCATATTCCCTAGACTCGTTTGATGGTTTTCCCTGCCAGAAGAATGAGAATTTTCTCTCCTTAACAGATCCCGAGTCTAACAGTCTTGTCTCTTGAAGGGCAATGATGTCCATCTGCAGTCTGCTCAACTCCATGTCAATGGCAGCTGTCTTACATACGTCATCTATCTCTTGTAAATCGTCAGAAAGACCGGGAGTCATTGTCCAAACATTCCAGGTGCCCAACTTTAGGGCTAAAGTTTTCTTATGTTTGTTGCATGGTGCAAAGTTATTGATCTGCTTGTTGGCACCTTGTGGGAGGCCAACCATTAATTTAATGAGATACAAGGAGATATCAGGACAACCAGGACAAAGTTATAGCATTTCAAGTTCCCCTCTCAGTGATTGTTTTGGGAAAATGAGACTTTAATCACACCGTTAAGATTGTTTAATTCACATACAGTACATGAAAAGGTTTCAAACTATCTCAAAAAGTCTTGAGAATGGGTTTCTAACATCTTACAATATGTAATCTGTCTCACGTGCCACCTGCACCTGCATAATCAAACCCTCTTCACCTCCTCCCCCTCCCCAAGTCCTGCATCAGTCCAGTCACACGATGTATGTTATGAAGTGAGATGCAGCTCAGGAAAGCTTCTCCCTTTTAATACAATTTTATGAATTGAAAAAGGTGCTCCCAGACTCCTTCTGAAGTGGCAGTCCAGGCCTTCTCTGCATCGAGAAGATGTTCTGCCACCAAGCAGCATCTATGTCCTTTATTTTCAGTCTGAGACATCAAACTTTCTGGGCTGGTGCATTTCCACCAATTGAGAAATTTCACAAAGATTGGGGGTTTCCCAATCATTAGATTATTAGCAAGACAAACAACATAGACTTGGCTTATGCCATCTATGAATTGTGCCACTCTAGAACAGACTTCCCATTCAACATGTGAGGGTCTTTTTGATGCTGCCCTCCAAAAGCAGAGAAACTAAAGCCAACCAGGGGAGGGGGAAATTTGGTGTCACCAGATGGTGTAACCCTGCAACTCTCACTGGTTCTAGCTAGTATGACCAGGAGAGAATTTGGGAATTACGGAACATCCGGAAGACCATATCCCTCTCCCACCTATGTTCCCATCTTTGCTGAAGATATGCAAGAAGTTAGATGGTCAGCTGTCTGGAAGCTTACAGCTGCATTTAGTTTTGCAAATTTTGAGAAGTTCCTTGTTCCTAGCACACTATACACAGAGATAAAGAACAAATAGCGTGGAGCAATCTCCTTGTCTATTAATAAAGCCTCAGCCCCACAGAACCTGATGTGTGGTTGCTATAAACAATAACATATTCCATGCTTGGATTAATTAGGAGGGATGCTGAAAATAAAACCACCAATAATTATAGACTCGTATAATTCTAGGTAATGTCTATTATTCTGGAGTTCACATCTGAAATCAGTCATGATAGCTGGGTATTTCCTATAGAAGTTTAGCTTGTTAAAAGCGAACAAGAGAATATTTGCCTATGTAAGTTGCCTGGATACAACTAATAAACCATTGAATAGAATTGGGGGCTAAATTTATTTTTATCCTGATTTTATTATTTTTATAAACAACTCAAGGTGGCAAACATTCCTAATAGTCTTCCTATTTTCCCCACAACATCCTGTGAGGTGAATTGGACTGAGAGTGACTGGCCCTAAATTACCCAGGCGATTTTCATGCCAAAGGCAGGACTAGAACTGTCTGTTGGTTCTTAATCTGATGTCTTAAACATTAAACCAAACTGGCTTTCAATATTTATTGGGATTACAGAATTATACAATTAACAACACGTGAATATGAGCCACCATTTTATCCAGCACCGCATATAGCTCTAACCAAGTTTTGTATTTTATGGGTTCAAAGAAAATACATTGTATGTTTGTATGTGTGTTTGTCTAAAAAATAAAAAAAAAACCTTTAAAAAAAACAACCAAAAAAGGTAGGTGCGTCTTTTACTCCAAAAAATACAGTCATCAACTAGCCATGTACCTGAATCTAAAGTTCTTGCAAGAGTGTCCACAGGACACTAAGAAAAAAAATGGTTGACACTATGCAAGTGGAGTCCCTGTCCTTTTACATGTTTAATGTGATGCATTAAAGGACAAGGCTTCAGTTGCATAGTCACAGCTGCTATCTTGAAGTCAAAATGGAATCATCAACTCTTCCTTGTAGCCATGCAGTTGACACCTGAATTCTTATTAAATTTAAAATAAAAAAGCAAAAAAGCACATATCAATCCTTGGATAAAATGTCAACAGCAATGGTAGAAGCAAAAGATCTTTCACAAAAATCAATCTTGAAAAGAGGAGATGTCCTTTTGTTAAATTGTGATGAGGCTTGAGAACTGAAGAGGGAGATTTTGCTGCTCCTTATAATTCAGTTTCTAGACTGTTCATGTTTGAGAGTACTTTAAAAGTTTGCAAACTCTGTTGGACATTTTCTGGCAGCACATGCAAGAAAAAATGAATGTGAAAACATGGGGGGAAATTTCAGCTCTCTGAAATCTCACACTTTCCATCAAAGTGAAACTCAAGTAACAGCCAGAGGTGGATTTTCACAGGTGGATGACCAATCAACAAAGCCCAGGCTTCACCAAATTCCTTCAGAAAGGATGATCACAAAGGAAGGCAAAGTGAAAGCTATTGATCCCTGTAATATGCAATTAGCCCTTTGAGCAGAGAGGTCACACTGGCTTATGTTACCATTTACAGCTTGCACATGTGATGGGCCACCAGCCAACTTGTATTTTCTTTGGTGCAGGGCTACTGAAAGGCAACTAAATTCTAATTCAGATCCAACTTTGTCACCCACAGTGTGCTCTAGGAACTAAGTGACCTCCACAGGTTCCAGCCGAGACAAGACCAACCACCTCTCCTTTCATGCATTTCTCATTCATTGGCAGCTCTCAGAAGTGAGGCTCTCATTCGCCTTCCTGTGACTGTTTTTAATGGAGATGCAAAGGGATCCTGATGGCAGCTGAAGTGGTTCAAATTAAAGTCAAAAGGACACCCAGTTCATGTGTTTCTCAATCAACCGTTTAAAAACTTAGTTCATTTCAGCTGTATGCAAACATTAAATGCCAACTATGTTGCTCATTTTCTTTTCCTGAGAGGTCTGTGGGTCTAAAGGTGCCATGTAGGTGATACTTGCTCCGTATCGTGTGCAAAAGCTCCATATTATGTGCAAAAGGAATATCCCTGGGGCATTTTCTGGGAGGCTCATATAGATGTTCCTCACCCCTGCTTTCCAGAATGGGTTTACATGGGGCAATTCATACCATGATGCTGTACCAGAAAATGCCCCCCCAGGATACATAGACATGGGGAAAGTTAAGTGACATCATGAGCATCATAGCAACATTATGGAAACAATGTGAATTACATAATATGCAGCAGAAGCCACAGTGACACTTGTGCATCAAGACATCATCACAACCTATATGCAAATATTACATAGTTCACATCCACTGTGTGCTGTTATCATGATGCTTGTGGCATCCACCAGATGCTAATGTTATGCCAGGGAGTAGGAAGGGTGCCACTTGTTCACCTTGACAGAAGGATAGTTTCAAATGCCAGAAAGTTTTGCTCACTTTGAGAGAGGAGGTCAGTCTGTAGGAAAAGACAAGTACATTTCTGAGGGTGTGTGGAGGGGGCCCGAGGAAAGATTTTGGAGTGTTCCACAGTGTGTCATGGACAAGGGACTCAGGAATGCAGACTGTCTGCTGAAGGGAAGAAGGCCTTCTGGAATACCTAAACACAGCCCATCTGTAAATTTTACAACAGTAATGGCAGCTTCTTCTGGCCAGGAGCAGACCATTAAAATTATTGCCTTGCTTAACCTCCAAGAACTGCTGGAGCAGAGTCCTGATAGAGATGCCTGGTGGGATCTGATGCAACACAGGAGTCTTAAGCACCACCAGAAACCCCAACACACATTTTAAACATTTCCAAAAAATTCCTCCAGAGGCACCATTGCTTCCTGCCACATTTTTTGTGTGGTTTTCAGAAGTAGAAGTAATCTATAAGGGCACATCCCATCTCTTTGATTCCATATGGACACAAAGGCTAGGAGGCCGTTCACTCAGGACCCAGTGAAGAAAGAGGGTCAAATATTGGGTTGCAACTGGTAGTAACTCCCCTCTCTCTGGCATAGCATAAGCAGTGGAAACAAACAGTGGGAAGCCAAAAACGTCACTGAAAAACACTGCTGAAAAATGCCACTGCCAGATCCCATTAAGACGGGTCCCTGGCCCACTAGCTTAAGAAGAATAACCTGAGCAAGTCCAGTTCACATCTGAATCGGAGCAAAATAATCTGGCATATGGAACTCATGGGGGAATTCTGAGGTGCGGCTTTCCAGCACTTGGAGCACACTCTGCCAAGCATCTCGTTGCCAAACCAGATGCTGGCTACTTGGACCTGAATGGATGAAGAGGAGAAGTCCAGCGAGTTGGTTTCATCCAGTTCAAGATCATGTTGCAATGGAAGCTTCCCATCCAACACCAAAGGCTCACGAGTGGAGTTGGCCAAAATGTTGTCAGCCTGTTTATTTTTCCATGTTCTTCCCAGATTGATCTGGAAAATAAAAGAAAGAGAAATAGTAAGTTCAACAGTTCTCATTCTAAGCAGACTTTTGGGAGCTGCTTTGCTACAGATAAAATTTGAAGCATTCTTTGGCAGCAAGTCAAAATAGATTCAGTAAACTGTTGCATGTCAAAATATACATTGCCCTTGACTTTTAACAGTTGGACTTTCCACTGTGAAAAATTGGGCAATTAACTAACATTCCACCATATTTGAGGAGAGTTCCAAGGTCAGTTGCCAAGATAATTTGCTGGTGAAAATCATACACAGGGATACATGGTTTTTATATGTGAAGGATGATTTTTTTTTCAGAAAAGTAAATTCATCTGAGAAAGCTGTAGAAGATGGATATTGACAGACTTGAACACTAACTAATAAAATGAAATTCAATGTAGAGAAAAGTAAAGTCTTACACTTAGGCAAGAAAAACCAAAAGTACACATTGGGTGAAACTAGGCTTAATAGCATTAACTGAGAGGGATCTTGGAGTCTTAGTGGACAACCAATTAAATATGAACCAACTGTGCAGCGGCAACCAAAAAAGACAATGAAATCCTCGGAACTCTTTTTTGTCTTTTTTAAAGTATTTTTTTACTACCGGTTCCAGCGAATAGGTAGTAAAAAATGCTTTAAAAAAGTAAAAAAAAAAGGTTCCGAGGATCATGCAGAACAGCGTCAAAACCTTTTTTTTACCTTTAAAAAATATTTTTTACAAATTATGGAGTGTGTGGAAATGGATAAGGTCACAAAGGAGATACAAGAAAAAGATGAAACAGAATACTACTTAGTCTTGGAGAAATGGTATAAATGGTTGGAGGAGAAAGGGGGAAAAAAGGGGGGGGAACAAAAGAAAACTAAACAATGGTTAAATTAGGTGGAGGAATATGGAAACAAATGGGAAGATATAAATTGTGGAAAGGAAATTAGGTACCTGTTTATGTTAAATGTAAATAAAATATTTAGATTAAGAGAATATATTATAATGGTATATATATATATATATATATGATATACTAGAAATATATGTATAAAAGATATATTAAGATAAGAAAGAGAAAATGTATAAATATGGATTACTTATGCGAAGATGTTGAAAAGAAGATGTAAACATCTGTTTTTGTTTGTTTGTTTGTTTGTTTGTTTTAAAAACTGTTTAATAAAAACTATTTTTTTAAAAAAATATTTCTTACTACCGGTTCACCTGAACCGGTAGCATTTCACCCCTGAATTCAACCTAGAAATAAGGAGAAATTTTCTGACAGTGAGAGCAATCCATCCATGGAACTGAAGTTGCCTTCGAAAGTTGTGGAAGCTTCATCACTGGAGGCTTTCAAGAAGAGACTGGACTGCCATTTGTCAGAAATGGTGTAGGGTCTCCTGCTTGGGCGGGGGGTTGGACTAGATGACCTACAAGGACCCTTCCAAATCTGTTAAGATAGCCAGAAGGAGTAGACTGATCCCCATGTTTCAATTATTTTGAGGGCATGGGTGGGGATCATGGGGCTTAAGGATTTTGTGTCTTTTTCTTCCCTAACCTGGGAAAATTCAATCCAATGGGGGACAGATCTGGATAGTTTAAGGATTAAATGGAACCTTTAAACACCAGACCTTAAACCCAGCCCTGTGTCAGTCCTGGAGGCCATCTTTTTCTTTGGATCTTCAGGGCTGCCACACTGGTGGTTTTGTGGGAACTGGGAGGTGGGTGAGATCGGGGTGGATTCTACTTATCTTTACTACCAGTTCACAATGGGAGTGTGCGTGCGCACTTCTGTGCATGCGCAGATCATCCGTTATCACATCCAGGCAGGTGGGCGGAGCCTACCGCCGCTTTTACTGCCTGTTCGCAAGAACCGGACAGAACAGGGAGCAACCCACCACTGGGTGAGATGTATAGCCAAAACAACCTTCTTTCACTGGGAGTCAAGGACGTTCAGCCTGCACTTGGAGAGGTATGACTGGTGTGAGGAAAGGAAAACTGGGTTGTGATTTGCTAAAATTATGTAGGCCTCAAAATGATAGTAGACTTCAAATGAATTGCTATATATTGGAGTGCTAGCTAGAATGATTTCCTAAGAATAACGTGATATTTGTAATCTGCTGTGCTAGAGCAATTTTATAACGTATTTGCAAAGTAAATAGTTTTGGAAGCTATTTTGGGCTAGGAACATTAAAAGCGTTGGGAAATAAGGAAGCAGATAGTAGATTTCACATGTACACGCAAGTATGTGCTAACTGACAGTCAGTATGGGAGTACAAGGAAGTAACCTCAGTAAAATTCCACTGGCCGTAGCTATTCCTTGCTGGACTTAGCTATCGTCACTGGACCTCATTGCAATGGGTTGTTAATATAAGTAATGTTGTGATGGCTTTTCATGTTTCCAAATTGCTCATGAAATAAACCTCTGAATCTTAAAGTAAGAATTGTTTATTGTATTATTGTTGCCTGCTTTCTTTTATTGGAATAGTTTTATGGCACTGGGAAGCAACTCGTTAGGATAGTGACTTGATTGGACCATGGGATGGACATGTGAATGCAGGGGAAGGGACTTTGACTTTCCTTTGGGTGGGGAAAACCCAGGAGACTTCAGATTCGGATTTTTCCCAGATGTACCAATCTGACATCTCTAATAAAATGGAACTTTGAGGAAATGCCTGCCTCGCAGTCTTACTTGGTTGGGAGTGTTACTTGGAACCCTGATACTCTGAGCCTGCCCCCAATGAATAGATAGAAGAATGGATAGCCCCTCATACAGTTCTGGAAAGGGCTTTCTGTGATACTGAAAGCTACTGGTACATTTTCTGATCATTGAGAACTCTGAATTTCACTATCTTCACAATGAGGCTGCATGGGGTCCAAAGAACATTGCAGCCAAAACTATTATTTTTCCAAATATTACATTATAAGAGTATTAAAAATAATTTTGCAATCTGGGCAAGGAAGAGCAAGTGGTAGGTTTACAATACCTTTATGAACAAATGTGAGAGAACTGCTAAATATTCAGAAACGAGACTGGCCCTTTTGGGGGCCATCATCAAGGAATTCATGGCCCAGGCCATTCCCACACTTGCCACATGAGACCTGCAAGGAAATTAGAGGGAATTAAGATTAAAAACTCTGCTGCTTTCCTACAATCAGCTGAAAAGCAGAATTATAGCCTGTAACAGAGCGTAATCCATGTCCAATCATAGTTTTTCTACAATATTTGTTCAGAAGAAAACACTATTTTTTCTGCAGCCCCCACTTATGACGGTCTTCTTCTAATTGGTTCCTTACTATTCATTCTCTTAGTTCTTTTGTCTCCCTCCTGGAAGACAGTCTTTGATTATTTATAATATTTAAGTACTGATCAATACATTTAAGAAGCTTCTAATTGAAAATACGGTATCTACAAAATACCTCAAAAGCACTATAATGTTTTTGAAACACAGTTACAAAATTTCATAAGCCTTTAAAAACCTGGCTATGTGTCTAAGCCTGGGGCCCTGAATGTGTTAAGGGTCCCATTTCTTGGCTTTACTGACAATTAGTCTGATATTGCAGTATTCTCAGCTGCTGTATATATTTATTTTGTACAGTTTTTGTTTTAGAATTAAAACAATTTGAATCACTTGGCTAAGATGGGCATCTATAGAAAATAAGTAAATTCAGATTTTGAGAAAAACCTGTAGACTTGATCTAAAAAAAAGTGAAAGACAATCAAGAAATGTTTAAACTGTAATCCAATGGCATCAACACTGGCTACAAAAAGTAAGTAAAAACAGGAGGATAATTCTACTTCATGCCATTATGAAGGAAGATACCCTGTTAAATAAGTTGCTTGCATACTGAATAAAGAGATTCTCTTCAAAGCCAAACCTTGGAAACCATCCCTACAATTTCAAATGCAACTCTGGGCATTGCCAGATTTACCAGTGAGTTTCAGCTGCATTTGGGATACTGATTTACAAACTCTGCCCTTGCCAAGCTTTGAGTCCATTGCAGCACAACCTAAGTCCTCACCTTGAAAGCTCCTGGGCGTTCTAAGTACTTGGAGATGCTGTCACTGTGAATAGGATGGGTAAAGGCTGGCCAAGGGGATGAATGAAGGAATTTGGACTGGCTGGAGAATAATTCATAGCCGCACTTGGAACAAATGTATATACCTGTGAGCAAAGATGGAGATGGGGAGGAAGAAGAATATATATGACATGGAGGAATTAAATAGGCATGAATTCATAGGAAGGCTGGGGTGCAGAGAGAAGCATGTCTCGTTTTACTCATCTCAAATATCAGCCAGAAATTATTTGATAACCATCACAGGTTTTCTAGAAAGTTGCCGTTTTTTTCCCCTTCTGTACACATTTCTACAGGCAGTTATCCACTTACGACTGGTCACTTAGCAACTGTTTGAACTTATGCCGGATCCCCGCATTACGTAAGACCCAGTTCTGAATTCCAATGCCTTCTCCCCACAGTCACTTAACTGCATTTTGGGTGATTGGCAACTGGCCCATATGGCCATTTGCAGCATCCCACAGTCATGTGACTGCCATTTATGATGATTTACCTGGAAACTGATTTTTATTTTTGGTTTCTGGAAAAAACTGGCTCACGATGAAAAATGGGTTTGCCTAATAACCACAGTGTTCACTTAACAATGAGTCCACATTTACTTTACAATGTCCACAAAAAAGGTGGTAAAATTAGATTGGTCACGTGGTGACTCACTTTATAGTTTTCACGATTTATCATAATCACCAGGCTTAACTACTGCCATTAGTTGACTACCTGTAAATGTTATTTTCATAGCAGGGAACAACATATTGGAGCTGCTTGATCTAGTTCAGCCTTCTCCAACCTGGCATCTTCCACACTGGCTAGTGGAATTCCACAAGTATTTCAGCACATCTGAAAGATGTGTTACACAAACAATCCAACCCTATTTAGCTACAGTGGGCTGTATACAGTATGCTGTGGCCAACTTCCCACCCCTGACTTTAAGTACTATGCCCTCACTATCATAAAACTAGGAGGAAACATGGATGGAAATCTTAAAAGGGGAAAACAACTCAAGAGACTTTGAAACCTCTGAAAAATGAGATTATAAAAACCTGATCTAACCCAACACCAGAGAAGGAAAATAAGAGACTCAGACAAAACCATCATGGTTGCATAAACAACTCTCTGACAAACTGAGAGGAAAAAAGGACCAATATAAAACATTGAAAGAGGGACATATAACTAAAACCGAATACCAACAAATAGCCCAAATCTGAAAGTCAGGAAGGCTCAGAATGGCAGACTAAGACTTGCAACAAATGACAATAATAACAATAACAATAACAATAATGTTTTTTTCAACATGCAAAAAGCAAGAAAAAATGTTAAGGAAACAATCAATCCACTCATGCAGGGGTCTCCAACCCCCTAGTCCATGACAGACTTGAACCCTGGGCCCTATCCAACAAAATGCAATTCAATGGTGAGAAAAGTAGATGAGAAAAGATAAATGCACAGACATAGAATAGGTGGTACCTGGCTCGACACTAATACCTGTGAGAGAGAGATCTAGGTGTCCTAGTGGAAAACCACATGAGTCAGCAGTGTGCTGAAGATGTAAAAAAGGATCCATGAATAGAGGAATAGTATCAAGACCACACAAAGTATTAATATCATTTTACACTACTAATGAAATCAAACTTGGAATTCTGTGTTAAATTGTGCTCAACACAATACAAAAACAATACTGAAGCTCTAGAAATAGTGCATAAAAGAGCAACAAAGTTGATAAGGTGTCTGGAGGCTAAACGGTAGGATCAATGTTTGAGAGAACTAGATATGTCTAGTTTAACGAAGAGTAAGATTAGAGGTGATATGTCTTCCAATATTTGAGGGGCTGTCACAGAGAAGAGAGGGGTCAACCTATTTTCCAAAGCATCTGAGGGGAGGACAAGAAGTAATGGGTGAAAACTTGGGTGAAGAAGTAATGGGTGAAAGCTTGTTAAAGAGATATCCAACCTGAAATTAAGGAGAAATTTCTTAACAATTAACCAGTGGAACCAGCTTCCCTCCAAAGTTGTGGGTGCTCCATCCTTGGAAGTTTTTAAGAACAGACTGGACAGCCATTTGTCTGCAATGATTTAGGGTCTCCTGCCTTGGGCAGGGGGTTGGACTAGGACCTCCAAGGTCCCTTTCAACGCTGATTCTATCATTCTAGTTGTCTGAGAGAAAGCAGTTCTCAAGACAGAGTTCTCAGTACTGTCAGCAAGCAACATGGGCTCAGCTTCAATACCATGAAGGAGATGGCAGGGAATCCACTGGAATGTAGGACATGTGAGAAGCAGCAGCCATGGGTTGAGATTGCTTCAAGAAGAATGTTTCAAGAATGTTTCACAAGGAACCTGGATTCTCATGTTGGCAAAGAACAATCAAGTGCTGGTGCAGCTTCATTATAGTATGTGGCCCTGTGGTTAGTGCTGTATTGCAGGCTGATTCTGCCCACAGCCAGGAATTCAATCCTGACCGGCTCAAGGTTGACTCAGCCTTCCATCCTTTCAACTTTACATCTCCACCCCGGATCAACCCAGGGATGCCCTTTCCGTGATGTCTAAGTGCCTAGAGGCAGTGGATGGGTAGGAACAGACTCAACCCCTCCAAGAGAGTGGCTGTGGATGCCGACATCTCATGATCTAGTATCCCCATCGCTTCTGATGGGAGGGGAGTCTCTGGCTCCCTCGGAAAGGGTTCGTAATCTTGGCGTCCTCCTTGATTCAAGGCTATCCTTGGTGAACCATCTGACGGCCATGACAAGGGGGGGCTTTTGCACAGGTTCGCCTGGTGCGCCAGTTGTGCCCTTTCCTAGACAGGGATGTCCTCCGTACGGTCACTCATGCTCTCATTATTTCTCGGCTGGATTACTGCAATGCCCTCTACATGGGGCTGCCCTTGGGATGCACCCGGAGGTTCCAACTGGTCCAGAATGCAGCCGCGTGGGTAGTTACAGGTGCTTCCTGTTACTCCCATATAACACCGTTGTTGCACGAGCTGCACTGGTTGCCGGTGGTCCTCCAGATCCGCTTCAAGGTGCTGGTGCTCACCTAAAAAGCCCTTCATGGTATGGGCCCAGGGTACTTGCAGGACTATCTCCTACCGGCCTCCCACCGCCCAGTGCGCTCACATAGGACTGCCCTCCTCCGGGTCTCATCAGCCAGAGTGTCGGCTGGCAGCCCCCAGGATGAGGGCGTTCTCTGTGGTCGCACCAACCCTCTGGAATGGTTTACCCACTGGGCTCCGGACGGCCCCCGACCTCCACACCTTCCGCGCCAACCTAAAGACATGGCTCTTTCAGCAAATTCCCTGATCTGCCGTGCATTTTAATTTGGGGGATTTGGGGTTTTTAAATCGGATTTTAACATTTTAATTCTATTTATTGTTGGGTTGTTTTATTCTGTGAGCTGCCCCGAGTCCCTCGGGAGAAGGGCAGCATATAAATATGACAATAAATAAATAAATAAATAAATCCTTCCAATTGATAAAATGAGGACCCAGATTGTTGGGGGCAACAGAGTGACTCTGTAAACCACTTAGAGGGGGCAGTAAAGCTCTATGGAGCAGTATATAGGTCTAAGTGCTACTGCACTTAGATTAAAGATTAATATTAAGCATAGCCTTGGTGGTGCAGCAAACTAAAGTGCTGTTAAGTAGCACCAGCTGCCTGCAATTACTGCAAGTTCAAATCTCACCAGGCTCAAGGTTGACTCAGCCTTCCATCCTTTCGAGGTAGGTAAAATGAGGACCCAGATTGTGGGGGCAATAAGCTGACTTTGTATAAAAAAGAATACCGCTTTGGGGGGGCCAAAAGCCCTACTAAGCAGGTCTATACAAAAGTGTGAAGGCTATTGCTTAATGCATTGTAAGCCGCCCTGAGTCTCCGGAGAAGGGCGGCATATAAATCGAACCAATAAATAAATAAATAAATAAAATAACATATCCTGTGTCTGAAAAGACTTAGGTTTTTTGGAAGTGGAAAAACATTTACTCAAAAATATAATAATTAGCTGAGCAGCACCAAGCCAATTCTAATTTGGAGACATAATCAGATACCCCAGAGCTGAAAGTTGCCAGACTCTGCTGTGACTCTGCAATTAGTTAGGACTGCAGAGCCAGAAACCTAAAATTAAGTTGGTACTGGACAGTTGTTTTTTTCTTTTGCCAGGGAAGAAGAGTAAAACTGACAAACATAGGGAAACCAGCAACTGACACAGTTTGACTTTCTTTGTTACAGGAAGCTATGGGAAATTGTGGAAGAAACTATTTTATTCTTGAACATAATGTGGTGGCATATATCAGGGCCTGTGAATATTGCAATCAAGGAAGGAGTTGCTGACTGTCAGGGCATGAAGGAGCCACCAGAAACAGAAAGTGGGACTGCAGGCTGGAGATGGCAACTCTACTGTGACGGTGGAGAATGCAGAGATCAGGCTTAGAGGGTTAGCTTGGCGATCTGAGTCCTCAACAAAGTGTGTGAGAATGAAAGAAGCCCCAAGAGGGAGGCCCGAATCATTAACTGCTGTCGGAAATGAATTCTGTACTGTAAACAGCCAAACTATGATATAAATTTAAAGAGAGAAATGTATTTAGCATACATTTAAGATAAATGATATTTATCTCCATAGAATATTTTTGAAATATTCTCATGAATGAAAAAAAATGGCATTGTTTCTGTCGCTATGAAGATTCCACAAGCACAAGCAGACAGAGGGATTTTCTTGCACAAGAGGATGACAGAGGCTGCCTCTTCCGCCCTCCAGTATATTTCCGGAGAAACCACCTGAAAACAGTTTTTCCAGATACACTTTGGGACAGCAACAGCCCTGGACTGTTACTGCAATGTTAAAGCAACAGAGTAGGGCAAGGAAACAGTGCTGCATCCCATAATATCTGGACTGCTGCTTTTTCAGGGCATAACTGCATCCAAATTTGGAAATGCTGAGGAAGTGGGAGAAGTAGTTTTTAATGGAAAAATTCACTTGATTCCCAAGGAGGCTTCTCAAAAACAATACCGATCATTTTAGCTTTTGCTTTCGTCTCCTGACTGTCAGCAAATAGCAAACCGCATAAATTAATCTGCCCATGCTGAAGCTTTCCCGTTTGCTTCGTGCTCCAAGATAGCAGTTTAGGAGACTGTTGGAGGCATTTCTGGTATAGAGGAGCCTCATTTCATGATTAATATATAACTACTGCCTCAAACTTGGTCTCCTCAGGATAAATAGGGAAGGGTGAGGTATTTTGTAACTTTCTGTCATGGACCTCCTCACTGGGGGTGAATTCAGGGAGAAGGATTAGCTGGGGATTGATTTCCTTGGCACAGCTGAGGAAATGAGTATGGGGATGTGTAGGCCAGGGAGCGGAGGGCTCCAGCTTGATGGAGCAGCCACAGCCAAACGACCAGACGGCCAGCAGGCTGAGCCCAAGCAGAGGGAGCCACGGCTGCAGCAGGTGAAGAACAGGAGCAGCTGCTTGTGGTCAGCGAAGATGAGGTGGTGGTATACACAGCTCCCCGGCTACCCCCGCCATCCAAGGACGCGCAGGACAGAAAGGCGACAAGTACCATGCTGGTAGGCCAGGCAAGGAGGCAGTGTCCCCATTGTGAGGGGCCGTACCAGTGTTATCTATTTCAGGGATCACCAATCTTTCAGACCTCAGGGACCACTAAGTTCATAATTTAAAATCCCGCTGACCACGAATATGATCTGCTTAATGATCTGGGTGGGCATGGCTAGGTGGTCATGTGACTGGGTGGGTATGGCCAACTCAATGTCACTTGTGTCGAGCAGCGCCTCGCTGGCCTCTACTCGCCCCTCCCCTGCCAGCCACTCCTTGCCTCCTCGCCTGGGTTCCTTAGGGCCCCAACAGGAAGCAGTTCCTGGAGCTAAGCAGCCACCATGAGAAAGAGTTGGCAAAACAGCCGGCTCAGTTCAAATTGGATCTGACCGAGAAGGAGGCTCAGCAGAGTCACCTCCCTGAGGACTACGAGCATAGACTTTCCAAGCAGAGGGACGACTGCGGGAGTGCAAGGCCAGGTACTGGCGCCTGGAGGCTCATCGGGCTGAGATGGTCAGCCAATTCCAGGCCATGAGGCAGTCCCACTGGAACGACGCCCTCCGGCTCTTCACCACCAGTGGCACTTCCCTCCAGCCTTCACCCAAAGCCCCACACCAGGAGGCTGAAGCAGACCCCAAGTCAGAATTTCTGCCCCCCTCTGGCCCACACAAAAAGACCCCAGAGGGGGAGACTCTCTGCAGCAACACTGTTCATTGCATGGAACCGGCCCAGGGGCCGTAGTTTGAGGACCCCTAACTTAGTGCAATATAAAAAATGCAAATAATTTTTCTGCGGACCACCAAAATTTTCTCATGGACCACCAGTTGGTGACCGCTGATCTATTTAATCCCACTCAAAGGGATGGCATTGCTGGAACAATGTGTGTGGATTCAGGGGTGAAATCTAATTTCTTTTGCCACTGGTTCTGTGGGCGTGGCTTGGGGTGTGTGTGGCCTGGTGGTGGTCATGTGACTGGGTGGGCGTGGCCATTTTTTTTTTTTACTTTTTAAAGCATTTTTAACTAGTAAAAAATGCTTTAAAATGTAAAAAAAAAAAAGTTTCCGATGATCAGCACCTGACCATCCTGACCCCCCTCGCCAAGCCGGATCCAATGCCTCCTAGCCCCGAAGGTTGCAAGCCTTTCTACCTCGACCACCCAGTCTGGGAGATGACTTGGGGGAGGGGGGGGGAAACAAATGGAAAAACGCCAGGAGCAAGCAAGCGCTTCTTTTTGCGCTCCTGGCATGTTTCCACTTGGAGAGGAGGAGGAGGAGGAAGATGAGGGCGACAATCCCGGGCATGTGAAGCAAGGCATCAAAATCCACAGCAGGAAGCTCGGGGTGAGTGAAAAGGGGGGCAGCCGAGCGCTTTGTTTCTCCAGAACCGGTAGAAAAAAATGCTTAAAAAGTAAAAAAAAAAGTTCCTACGATCATGCATTGCTCAGCTGATCGTCGGAACTTTTTTTTAACTTTTTAAGCATTTTTTTATTACCGGTTCTCTGGAACTAAAAGCAGGAAGTAACGACGACTGGGCGGGTGGGCGGAGCCTCGGGTTGCCATTGCTACCGGTTCTTTGAACCACCGGCCGTCATCGCTACCTACTCGCCCGAGCCAGTCCGAACCGGGAGCATTTCACCCCTGTGTGGATTCCTTGCGCCATGATTTCTGCTTCTCATGTTTTGCCTTCAAACTCGTGTTGAACTTTGGACGTCTGGTTCGTGCCTTGACCTGGGGCCTTGCCTCACTCAAACCTCTGGAGCAATTGCCTCGTCAAACACCTTTGTTCTGGCTTCTGCCTGGCTTCAGGACTTGAGACTGCCCCTCTTGCCGGTTCCGCAGAACTCCCGGTGAAATTTAGAGGGGCTGTGGGGGGTTTCTGTTATTCAAGAGCTGCTGGGAATTGTATACTTGGCTCGGGCAGCTCAATGAAGACCTTCTGCTGTGTGTGCGACATGTGTGAGCAAAGTAGTACACTTGGTCCTGTCAAGCCTGGGAAGCTTCTGAGAACTTTCTCTTCAAGTCCCATCAGCAAGTGCCGATCAGAGACAGCCACACACAAAGCAGGGAGCTGGGAGAGGCCGAAAGTTCCCTTCGGAGAGGTGAGACAGGCAGGCTCCTTCATACCCACTGGGCTGGCCATAAGAGGGACGGGAGGAGAAAGGGTTTGCAAGATTCTGCCCCTTTAGCCAGGCTCCATAAGTACCACTCTTTTTCCTGGGGACTCAATTTCCTCTTCTGGGTCTCCCCTGTAAGGCTGATACACACCCTGAACATCAGCGATGGGGAAGTTACCAGTTACCCTGTCCTACCTCATAGGGGTCTGCTTTAAATAGATGGGTGGGGAGTAAAACCAGGCGATCTTTCATTTCCCTCTCAGGATCTGGGCTTCACCTCCCATCTCTCTCGTAAGGTCTCCTGCCTAGGCACGGGGTTGCACTAGAGGCCGCCAAGGTCCCTCCCGGGCCTGGGATCTCCTGGGAGCATCAAACGCAAAGCTTTCCCGATCTTGGCCTCCTTTGCTTTCTAGAAAACCCCCCTCCTCAATACCAGGAGGGGGCTAAGCGCCCGCCCGCTGCCGTCGGGGAGGGGCCTGGGCAGCCACCCCGAGAGACAATGGGGGAGGGGGAGGGGATGCAGCCTCTTCCTCCGGCCAGCACGCGCGCGTCCCCCACTCGCGCACACCCGGGGGACCCTTTCTCCAGGCTGGAGCCCTCCGGCCCTGCCCGATTTCGACGCCCGCTTAGGCCCGAAGAGCGCCACCCCTCCGGGAGCCAGTGCGGGGAGGGCCGGCTCAAAGAGCAACCGCCAGCCGCCCGGGACGCCCTCCGCAATCTGAGCCGCCAGAAGAGGCGAGCGGTGCCGGAGCGATGGGCGCCCCCGCCGCGCTCTCGCCTTACCGGACTCGAAGTGGCCCTGATAGATCTCCCCGCCGAAGAACCTGCAGAAGGCCATGGCTGCCCCGCTCGCTCGCCCGCCCGCCCGCCCGCCGCTCCCCTTTTAAGAGCGGCCGCCGCTCCTCCCCCTCCTCCCGCGGCCGCCTGCCCCGGGCAGTGACGAGGGCGGCGGGGCCGCTGCTGCGCAGGTAGCGCCTCCCCTGGCTGGTGCCGGCGGGCCGCTTCTGGGCTGCCCCGACCGGCGGGCTGGGCTCGAGGAGGCGGCCGAGCGGGGCCCGCCGTCCGGGGGAGTTGCGTGATTAGAGGTGCCCAAGGGGCCCATTTGAACCGGGGCGCGTTCCCCTAATGGCCGCTTGCAGCCCTCGGGGGAAGCCCCGCAAGGCCTCCCGCCCTGCAGCGCCGCCTTCCCGGGGCCGCCTCCTTGGAGAAGGCCCGGCGGCCACGCGAAGACAGGCGGGCGGGCTGGGTTGTGGGCAGCGCCGCTTGGCCCGAGAGTGGAAGGCGGCCACCCGGCCGGGAAGCGGGAAGCCGCTTCTCCGTTGCGCTGCTGCCGGGCGGAGCCAAACTCTTCCCCCGGGTCTCCCCATGGCTGGAGCCGCTCGAGGTCACCGGGCACCTGCGCGGGCCTTTAAAGGAGGACGCGGGCAGCCGCAGAGGAGGAGAGAAGAACTTTATTGGCCTCCGGGACAAAAACTGCAGCCAAACTCTGCAGATGCGCTTTGGCCTCTTTTTTCTACCGTCAGAAAAAGGTCCTCCAGTCGCAGCATTTTTTTTCAACAGAGCTGTATTTTCAAGAACTCGGGTGGCTGGTAATGCTAATTTCCCTACCACCTCAAAGGCTCTCCGACATGGAAGAGGCGGCGCTCTTCCTTTGTTCTGAAGGGAGCTGAAAATAGCTTTCTTGTCCTTTTCCCTGATGGATACAGCAGGTTTTAATACTATCTGCAAAATGTTAGAGGAAAGCGTCACCTATTATAATTTTATAATCCTTCAAAATGGTGAAAGATCTCTCTTGTTTTCAGAGATTTTGAAATGCTACAAGAGTGTTGCAATTTATCTGCACTGCATAAAACAGAAATATTGAGGTCTTGCTCAGTAATTTGGTGGGAGGTTTTCTCAGAATATTCCCTTGGACTTTGTGCTCCTGGTTAATGTAACTCAAATGGTAACGCTTGTGATTTTAAAAAGGACACTTGAATCCAGTTTCCATGGAGCAGACACATTCCTTTAGCTTCCTTTACGGTTTAACACCAACCAACAGTTTAGAAGTTCAGGAAATGTACATTGTACATAGGCAATAATTTACATTACCTAAAAACTAAATGGATTGCCAATAATAGATTTTCTTAGAGATATTGACAGACTGATCACTATGTAGTACGAACACTCCTGATTCACAAATGAGTGAAGGATCAGATGATGAACTTTATTAATTCCATTTGTTGTTGTATATAAAGTAGAAGAAGTAACAAATACTAGACAGATTTGATTTTGGAATCTGAATAATCCCACATCCATATAGGATCTATTAGTTTACATCCTGATGGGTAACATATCCATTCATGGCAGTGTGGAAAATTCTACATGGGGCATGCAAATAGTTTTAAAATGTTAGGGGACTGTACAAGGCAGAGGAACTATTGTGCAGCAGCTATTGTAAGATGTGAGATACAACATCTCTTTGCATATTTTGATCCATGATCCTCAACACTCATTCCCTCGAGGTTTTGTCTAGGCTGAAGATAAGCATTTCTGCGATGGAAAGGTTAACATCAAGATCCTGACTGTTTTTGTTTCCTCAAGGATGAATACTGTGCAGCAATGTAAGATGGGCCGGGGAAGATGCCCATAAGGTTGGTTTTAGCCAGAATCTGGGACAGACTAGCCTAAAATAAGTCCCTAAGACAGAGCATGGCAGACTAGGGAATATTGGGAGTCATCTTAAAGTTGCACTGCCCTAAGGAGGTAAGCATATTTCTATTAGAGCATTAGGGATCAAGTATGCCATTCTTGTTAAGGATTCAGAAATTTTATTTGAATAAGCCTCTATTCAAAAAGCCTCTATATAGCTGGGCACAATGTAATAACTGACTCAAAACATTGGCCTTGTCAGGATTCATTGCTGCAGGGACATAATTGTGAGCATTAGAACTTGCATACTTTAATGATGGCAAGGGATGTTCTGTTTGGCTTTGCAGTTAAGCTCCCATATTTGACTGAGAGTAAACCTAGCTCAAACCATTAATATTCTTGAAAAAATCACTAAAAGAATGGAATGGGTTGGGGTTTTTTTACAAATTTTTGAATGCAAGCCAAAGATCAGAGTGATCCCAAAACACAGGGACAGTTTTTTCCCTTGTGCCATCAGTCTGCTGAACACCTAATTCTCAAGAGTGTCTCTGTATTTACCCATGTTGTATGGTGGTATTATTTATCCTTATTATCTCCTTTACTCCCCCCTCCTATTGGTACTATTATCATAGATTTATAATGATAATTTATAATTTATAATAATTTACTATTATTCCCCCTGCTCTTTAACATCTATATGAAGCCGCTGGGTGAGATCATTCGCAGTTTTGGGGTGAGGTATCATCAATATGCTGATGATACCCAGCTTTACATCTCCACCCCGGACCAACCCAGAGATACCCTTTCCGTGATGTCTAAGTGCCTGGAGGTGGTGCGGGTCTGGATGGGTAGGAACAGGCTCAGACTCAACCCCTCCAAGACGGAGTGGCTGTGGTTGCCGGCATATCATGGTCTAGTGGCCCCATTACTTTTGATGGGAGGGGAGTTGCTTACTCCCTCTGAAAGGGCTTGCAATCTAGGCGTCCTCCTGGATTCGCGGCTGTCCTTAGTGGACCATCTGACGGCTGTGACAAAGGGGGCTTTTGCACAGGTTCGCCTGGTGCGCCAGTTATGCCCTCTCCTAGACAGGGATGCCCTCCATACAGTCACCCAAGCTCTCGTTATCTCTTGTTTGGACTACTGCAATGCCCTCTACATGGGGCTGCCCTTGGGGTGTACCCGGAGGCTCCAGCTGGTCCAGAATGCGGCCGCGCGGGTTGTTACAGGAGCTTCTCGTTACTCCTGTGTTACACCTCTCCTGCGCGAGCTGCACTGGCTACCAGTGGTCTTCCGGATCCGCTTCAAGGTGCTGGTACTTACCTATAAAGCCCTACATGGCATGGGCCCGGGGTACTTGCAGGACCACCTTCTGCCTGCCTCCCACCACCCTGTGCGCTCACATAGGACTGCCCTCCTCCGGATGCCATCGGCCAGACAATGTCAGCTGGTCACGTCCAGGATGAGGGCGTTCTCTGTGGGCGCACTGACCCTCTGGAATAGGTTACCCACGGGGCTCCAGACGACCCCCGACCTCCGCTCTTTCCGCCATGACCTGAAGACATGGCTTTTCCAACAAATTGGATGATGGGTGATTTTTAACTGGGAGATTTTAATTATGTATTTTGGTAGTTATTTTTATTTTGTTATATTGTTTTAATTTCTGTGAGCCGCCCCGAGTCCTTTGGGAGAAGGGCAGCATATAAATATAATAAAATAAATAAATAAATAAATATTTATTTATAAATAAATTGGTGGGGGTTTTTTTTGACATATTGGTTAACCCCTTTTTAGCCATAGTTTCTGAAATGTTATTGATTATGAGATCAGCAAAAGGAAATTCATTCATACCATCAACTCAATTGCAAGAAGCAACTCAAACTATAACAAGCTTCACTCAAGGCCAGACCTATCCACACTTCAAAGAATCTTCTCCCATGAACTACGTGCCGAACTCAAAACCAGGGAGAAATGGACTTATGCATTGATTACCATGCCAACTGTATTAAAAGTAAGAACAACGGTCCGCACCCCAATAACCACCACCCCAACAACCTGTCAGCGTTCCAGAAAAAAACCAACTCCAAGTAAAGACACGGAAGCAAACATTTTCCAAAGTTCTCTTTACGAGAATAGGCAAACTGGCACATTTGGGAAATGTGAATCTTTCCGAATCTGAAAAGCCCGGGTTTTCCTGCAGTTAGTCAAAGCTCCCAAAACCATCTCCTTTTCCCCCCAGTTGGTCACATGCTCCAATCAACGTCCGCTCCATCTCAATCCAGCCCCCTGATCACTCCTCCAGATGCTGGATCGCCCTGACCTTGACCGACAGGAAGAATGCTATTATGTCTACTAACAACCCCTCTCCTTAATCCCCCCTCCTACTTTCCCACACATGAAAAGGTGGCAGCATTGAAGTTTCCGGCCTAATCCGGATTCCAAGGCTGACACAACCACCACTAGGCATGCACGCCCCAAACTTCCTCAAACTCCACCGCCACAGACCTTAAATGCAAACAACTTAATGCACGAAGCCTTGTAAGCAAAATACCAGAATTTCTCCTACTAAACACAACTATATTCGACATTTGTATGCGAGACGTGGCTGAATTCATCCCTCCCAGACTCCATCACCACAGTAAGAGACTATCATGTGTACAGGTCCGACTGAAATCCGCAGAGGGGGTGGTGTTGCTATCTTCTATTTAAAAAAATCCCTAAATCTAATAAATATTCAAGTTACACAGGAGTTAGCTTCTGGAGACCATCGTATGAGACCTTTCCCTAAACACCACAATTCGCTTCAAACTTTGTTACAGAGCCCTTGATTACGACCTTGTACATGCTAACAAACTAACATCACTACTAACATGGGCAGCCTCCTGCCCACACCCTCTTATCCTTCTTGGTGACCTAAATCTACCTCTTATTAATTGGACCCTAAACAAATGTACAACTGAACCTATACATGCAACCCTGCACAATGCTGTAACTAAACTGGGACTTAATCAACTAATAACTAATAACAGTAAACTCAACAACTGCCTTGATCTCATCTTCTGCAACAGTTTAAATTCAATTTATGGACTACAAATAAAAGACTACACTTATGAACTACACTTTTCCAACAGTGTCCATAGCATGATAAGACTTTTTTTTTAAAAATATACTTTATTAAGTTTTATATATATACAAGACAAAAATTTCATTTCTATTAACATCGGATCTGCAGTGTTGATACATATATACATAAAAT